AAGAACGGACTGGTCTGTTTTTTCTTCTTGGGCTTTGAAAAAGGAAATTAGAATAGGGCAGAGTTCTTGGAAAGCATTACGGTATGTGGACCAAAAAGACGTATCGGAGTAAAAAATGTAGGTACAACGGATATATGAAGAATAAAGGGCAGATTCAGGGACAACTAAATGACGGAAGTTCCAGAAAGAGAGGTTTTCAGAAAAAATAGAAGTGAGGCTATTCATTAGATTAATATTGTTTTCTTTCTTTTTTTGTTTTTTGAAGATGGAGTCCACTCTCACCCAAGGCTGGAGTGCAGGTGGCACGGATCTCGGCTCACTGAAACATTCGCCTCCATGGTTTGAGTGATTTCCCTGGCTCAGTCCCGCGCCGAGAAGCTGGGATTACCAGGCGGTCTGCCACACCACCTGGCTACATTTTTGTGTTTCTATTGGTAGAGAAGGGGATTTCTCCACATTGGGTTGGTTCTAGCCAGGCTGGATTAATTCTGGCCTTCAAATGAATCTACCCATCTCAGGCCCTCCCAAAAGTAGCTGGGATTACAGGTGTTGGCCAGCCACGCCCAGCATTAGGGCGTAATTGGCCGAGCGAGGTGCCACACTTGTAATCCAGCACTTTTGGTGTTTTTTTGTTAGTGCCTAGAAGGTGGGTGACATCACGAAGTCAGGATCAAGGATCAGCCTGATCCAATATGTGGTAACCTCCGTCTCTATAAAAATACAAAACATTAGCAGGGCGTGGTGTGCATTATGCCCTGTTAATTCCAGCTTACTCAGGAGACTGAGGCAGGCAGAATAGCTGAACTCCTCCGCTGCCCAAGTAACTGGGACCACAGGCATGCACCATGATGCCCAGCTAATTTTTAAATTTTTTTGTAGAGACAGGGTCTCATTATGTTGCCCAGGCTGGTCTCAAACTCCTGGCCTCCAGCAATCCTCCTGCTTTAGCCTCCCAAAATTCTGGGATTACATGCCTGAGCCACCCTGCATAGCTCATTCTGACAGGGATAGGAAGCAGCCAAACACCTAGATAGATAGGGGCGGGTACCCGGTGAAACCCCACCTCCAAACTGAAGACAATTTAAAGCTGAAAAGCCAAACTACAAGTTAAATCCTCCCACCAGATTGAGAACTTGTCTTCCTGTTTGGCGTGCTTTCCCGATTGGTCACCACCCTTCACCTATTTTACAAGTACCTACCCTTTCCTAATTGGTTTTCTACACTGTCATACTCACCTTTGAGTGGTGTCTTTGCTTTAACCTTTTTAGCATAATCACAAACCAACCAGCACACACTCCCCATTCTGAGTTCATAAAGGCCCCAGACCCAGTCACACAGGGGAAATTTCCTGCCTTTGGGTAGGGGGGCCACCCCCCCTTTTCTTTTTTGTTGAAGGCCTTTTTCTTGGTTCGTTAAATTCTTCACCTTCACCACCCTCAACAACTCTATGTGACCTCATTCTTCTTGGACCTGGACAAGAGCTTGGGACTCACCGCGTGTGGGTACCCAGAAAAGGCTGTCACACTGGCCCTTGCCGGTAGAGGGCAGCTGCCCCAAGCCACCATGAGGCGAGAGGCCAACAGAGCTGCTAACTCACCGCCCTCCATATATCTGCCAATGGAGGAACTGAAGGAGCACTGTAACACCCTCTCTGGGGCTTCCGGGCCATGTCCCCGCACAGAGCTTGCTCCTGTTTTGTGCCTGGAGCAGCCAGCTGGGTTCTGCACTCACTTGTTCATGTGCTCCCTCCTGCAAGGGGTTGAGCCTGGCAGGCCTGCCGAGTAGAAGGGGTGCCCCGGCTGGCAGAGGGACCGAGAAAAATCCTGCATCATTCTATAGCTAACATCTAGCTAAGTGGGTCGGCCACGTCCTTGCCTGTTAACGGACTCCAGGAATCTGATGTCGTCGGTCCAGTGGCTCACCGTTTGGAAACTGAACTAAGACTGTTTTGGTCAGAATTCCAGAGTTGCTTTGGCATCTGGGAAACTTCTCTGGAATTCCTTGTATACCTGTCCAGGATTTAGGCTTAAGGCTGAGACGAGTTTTTTAAAACACCAAAACAGGGCAGCAACGTTGGTGACCAGCTTCACAGGCGGCGTTTTCCTACAGGGCCCCATTTCAAGAAATGTTTTCGGCGGTAGGCGTTTTCTTTCCTTCTTCCTTTCTTTTTGGGCAAGGTCTTGCTCGTCGCCAGGCTGAGTGCAGGGCGCGATCTCAGCCATTCAAGCTCCGCCTCCCGGGTTCACGCCAGTCTCCCGCTCAGCCTCCTGAGTAGCTGGAACTACGGCGCCCGCCACCGCGCCCGCTCTTATTTGTATTTTTAGTAGAGCGGGGTTTCACGCGTGGTCTCGATCTCTGACCTTGTGATCGCCCGCCCTCGGCTCCCCAAAGTGCTGGGCTAAGGCCGGTGAGCCACCGCCTGCCGGGCGGGCAGGTAGGGTTTTTTCCTTTTTTTTTTTTTTTTTTTTGGACGGAGTCTCGCTCTCCGCCAGGGCTGAAAAGTGCAGTGCCGGATCTCAGCTCACTGCAAAGCTCCGCTTTCCCGGGGTGTTTGCACGCCATTCTCCAGCTCAGCCCTCCTGAGTAGCCTGGGACTAAGCGCCCGGCCCCGCGCCCGGTAGTTTTGTATTTTTTATAGAGACGGGGTTTGCCTGTGTTTAGCAGGTGGTCCTCGTCTCTGACCTCGTGATCCGCCCGTTCTCGGCCTCCAAAGGCTGGGATTCAGGCTTGACCACCGCGCCGCCCGAGGTAGGGTTTTCTAACCTTGTTCCGGCAGCTGTCTCTTTGCTAGGGGTACTTAAAATTCAGCAATCCCTTCAGAAAGCAAGGGATTCTGTCAGGCCGGAAGGCTGTATAGAGCTTGGTAATGGGCTTTGAAAGCGGTAATCGGGGAAACTGAAAAATCAGGCCGGCTTGCTTTTTGGCCTCAGGAATAGGAAATGGCCACTTATACAATTTGGAAGCCCATTTTTTGAGGTTCCTGTTCCTCTCTGCGCCCTTTTCGCCCTTTTCGTGTTCTAACAACGCCTCTCGTCCTTCTGAGGCCTGTCGCTCTACTTTGAATAATTCTAGAGTTCAATTAAAGACGCAAACACTCGAATGTTTGACCCTAACAAGTAGTCAACGCCCTCAACGTAGAGAGTCGGGCTGGGGCCTGGCGGTGTGAAGCTCTCGCAGCTCTCAGGAGTTAATTATTGGGAGTTCCATGAGGGAACGTCGTTTTCGCTGCAGAGGGGCCCAAACACGCTCCCACTTCTGTCCCTCCGGGCCACAGGCTGCAGCGCAGGGCCTCTAGGGTCAAAGGTTGCGGGCGGCGAAGCCCACAGGGGCTGACTGGGCCGTCGCGTCACTCGCGACCCGTCCCCGCCGGACCCGCCCCTGCCCTGAGGCACCAGTGCCTCCTGCTGCAGAGGGTAAGCGCTGCGGGGCCCCCGGACGTCCTGAACAGGGCGCCGGGTCGCGGGCGAGCCCCGAGATCTGCAGACTCCCGCCACCTCCTCCGCGCGCCTTGAGCGCGGGCCGGGGCGTCCGGTCCACCCGGAATTCAAGTTAAGATCCGCGGCGGCCTGGCTGCTTCTCTTCCGCCTGGATAGAGCTGTGGGTCCCGGGGGCCTTTCAGTGGTGCAGACACCGCTCCTGCGTGGCGGGGGGCAGCAGTGTCCATTGTCCCCAGCCGTGTTCTCCCTCAGCCTCTCCTGCTGCCCTTGAACGCTTTGTCCTTGCGCAGGCGGGGCGGAGGTCTGTTTGCAAACCTCCGGCGTCTCCCCGGTCAGGAAAAGCCGCCTGCTAGCGCCTCGGCTCTGCTCACGAATTCCCTCTAGAAAACACGCCGAAAGGGGGAGCTTTGGGTCAAACGAAAGGTTTTCTGTTCCGCCTTCTGCGCACCTGGTTTTAATAAGAGCCTAGGGAGAAATACGGCCGGGGTGGGGGTGGGGGCTGAAGGATCCCCAAGAAATTCTGTCCAGAGAGAGAAAGAAGGGTGCACGTGGACTGTACGTGCGCAGACGCACTCACTGTACAAGGCTTTGTAAAGACCTTGTGCACTTTTCAACTTTAATTGTAGCCTGGAGAGGATGTAGGTTGTAGTGATGTTAGAAATGGGATGTAAACCGCAGTTAAAAACACATTTATTAACATCGAGGACAAGGAGACTGCGCAGTTGTGCACAATGTATTTTTTTCTTCCCAGTTTTCATAACAAAAAAGGAATATTGAAAAACAACCGCCGCCCCTTCCTATACTCCCACCTTCCTGATCCTCGTGCACACTTGTTTTTACATAGTTGCAATTAGAGGTACACGGCATTCTTAGTTCAAATTCTGGCACAAGGGAGGTAAATTACATTCCAGCAGAGCGGAAGTCTTCATTAATTCTAAGAAAAAGATCTCCCAATACATGAACTGGAAGTTAAAGATGATATCATGCTTTCAACCTATATTATAAAAGTTTAAAGGATAAAGGACATGAAAGGCTTTTAAAAAAGACCTTTGTCAGACGTATAAATGTAAATATGTCTGCCCAGATTATTATTGCATGTTCTTTTAAAGCCAGGGGAAAGTTCTTTCCAACAAAGGACTTTGATCTTTACACTCTTGAGAGGATATCTCTTTTCCTGCCTTGTACTAAGTTTTGAGAATACTAAATTTCCATGAAACATTTCTATCTTTCTTTCTTTTTTTTTTGAGATGAAGTTTCACTCTGTCGCCCAGGCTGGAGTGCAATGGCGCAATCTCAGCTCACTGCAACCTCTGCCTCCTGGGTTCAAGCGACTCTCCTGCCTCAGCCTCCTGAGGAGCTGGGATTACAGGCACCCGCCATCTTCCCTGGCTAATTTTTATATTTTTGTAGAGAGGGGGGTTTCATCATGTTGGCCAGGCTGGTCTTGAATTCCTGACCTCAGGTGATCCACCCCCCTCAGCCTCCCAAAATGCTGGGATTACAGTCGTGAGTCACTGTGCCTGGTCTCCAAGAAACATTTCTTAAACTCCTAATCAGCATTTAATCAGAGCCCTCAGGGCCTTGTAATTCTGTTCCCTCTATCTAGAATGCTTTTCGCCTTCCTTTGTGTTGCTAGCTCCGCCTTATTCCGATCCCAGCTGACATAGCTGCATACCCCATGCAACATCGAGATTTTATGTACTTCAAAGCACTAACCACAATCTGAAATGGTTTCACTAGTTTCATTATTGCCTGTCTCCCATTCCCTGAATGATATAAGCTACACAAAAGTAGACACCTTGATGTTTTGTTTGCTGTTGTATTCTAGAACCCTATCCCCCCCAACACCACCAGCATCTACCAGGACTGGTATCTAGTAAATACTAAAAAATAAATAAATAAAAAGTTTGCAGTATGGAGTGAAGCCAGGAGAGCACTTGCTAAGAGATTGTGCCCCTTGAGGAAGCATCTTTGGTCCCCTGTCCCCCACCCTTGCCTTCCTCCTGGGTGGCTTAGGTGTAGTTGCTCACAGTTGCTGTCTGACTCGCTGGCCCTTCTTAGGATCCAACCTGCAGGGTCCCAGACCAGCTCCAGGAAATAAGACTTGGAGGCAAGCAGGGGCCTCGGGCAGTTTCTTCTGGGTCTGGATTTTGGACTGGAGAACAACTGGGACTCTCCCCCAGAGGCCTGGGGACTGCTGGCGCCACGAACCCTCTGACCCTTTAGCACTTCCCAGTGCTTGGCTGCGTGTGTGAGGTTCCGAGGTTCGTGCATGGTGGGAGCTGCTCATGAAAGATGCTGTGTTTATTTTGGACTCCAGGCACAGGGAATAATTAGGGGAGTGACCTGCTGCTAAAGTTGAGGTCTTTCCTTGTGGGCTGGGCCATGAGGCTGCTGTCTGGCCTGCTTGCTGGCAAAGGCCATGGATTCCTGTGGATTCTTGCATGGTTCTCAAGAACCACGTCTCTGAGAAAACCTTCACGAGGAAGAGGCTGGGAGTGGTGTCAAGAAAGTTTGGACTTTTCCAAACTTTTGGACGATTCTTTGGGGATTGGTGATTGTTGAGCACCCCCTGGGCAATACTAAAGTGGAGTGTCTGCGCCTGCTTGTCCTTTCTCAAGGCTGCACAGAGATCCCAGGGTCTTCCAGACCCCCCTGCCTCCCCCTGCCGCTGGGGCCTGCATGTCCAGTGGGTGGAGTTCAAAGACCACAGCTGTGGAAGGAACTGGATATTCTGCGAACTGCCAGTTGCCAGGTAGGGAGAAGCTTTTCCTTAAGCTTCACAGTGCCCGGCACAATGCCTGGCACACAGTGGGTGTTTAATAAATGTTCATGCAAGTATGAAGCATGGGAGTGCCCTTCAAACTGGGTTTCTAGTTCAGCTGTGTCAGATTTTTTGCAAAAGTAATAGATTCAGTGAAGGTAAACCCAGGGGGCCAACTGTCTGTGTTCAAATTCTGACCACTCCACTTACAAGCGGGAGATAATAATGTTATCCACTTCATGGGATTGTTATGAGGACTAGAAGTGAGAAATTTTGTAAAGCACTGAGAACAGAGTCTGACACACAGTAAGTAACAGGGTACGTGCTAAAACAAATTTAGAATAGAATGTGGAGAAGGTAAGAATTACCTCAGGAAGGAAAGGGGATGGAGTCAGGGAGGGGCACACTGGATATTTCAAAAGTAGGTCATTTTCTTATTTTTAAACTGGGTGAATATATTGATCTTGTTATGTTGTGATTCTTTATCCTTCACACATCTTTTGTAAATGTTTTGGTATCTGCTCAAGATATGATACAAAATTTAAAACAGCAGACTCTGATGTGTCATATTGTTCATTTTAATGCACTGGAGACCTTGAGGCATTAACTTGTGTGACCTGTCTTGTTCTTTCACAACATTTTGAGGGAAATACTATTATTAATATTAAGATTTCCAATGCATAAGGTCTGGACTATTAAATACTGGAGCCAGGATTTAAATCAGAGTCTGTGTTCTTAGTTGCTATGTATGGCATTTCTTATGTGTCATTGATATAGCAGGTTGTATCTGAGCTTTACCAAAATGAAATCCATTACCTGCCAGTGTACACTGACATGAAATTGCACATATGACTCATCTGTGTGAATTCGGATTTTTCTCAATGCATGAAACCAAGTTGAAAAGCAGAAATAAACTGGATACAGGAATGACTGACTGTAAATGGACACCCCTAATCTTCTACTTCTATTTAGCAAAACAGCCTACTATTCTCAGTAGTTCACTTGATGATAATAAGAAGTGCTATACATTTTCATTTAAAGTAAATATACAGACAGCCTCCCTAAAATTATGATTATTCAACTTCACAATGATGTGAAAGCAATATGCTGTGCTTTGAATTTTATCTTTTCTGGAGCTAGTGATGTGTGGTAGGATACTGTCTTGCCATGCTGTTGTAGCTACAGGGAGCTATGACGTGTTTAATAAGGTAGGCTAAGCTAGGCTAAGCCATGATGTTCAGTAGGTCAGATGTGTGAACAAAAGTTCTTTGAAAAATAATTTAGAGGAAAGAGACTTTATTCCAGTAAACTGTTTGCAAACTGGGGAGAGGCAGCCTGTGATATAAAATTAAAGTACATTCTAGGGAACGCAGGGTGTGTTTTTTGTTTTGCTTTGTTTGTTTGTTTTTTGACAGTCTCACTCTGTCGCCAGGCTGCAGTGCAATGGCGCGATCTTGGCTCACTGCAGCCTCTGACTCCCTTGTTCATGTGATTCTCCTGCTTCCACCTCCAAGTAGCTGGGATTACAGGCATGTGCCACTACACACAGCTAATTTTTTGTATTTTTAGTAGAGACGAGGTTGCACCATGTTGGCCAGGATGGAAGTGGTTTCATTTGTTTTTATTTATTATTATTTTTTGCGAAGTAGTTTTGCTCTTGTTGGCCAGGCTGGAGTACAATGGCGCCATCTCTGCTCACTACAACCTCCGCTCCCCCATTTTCCTGCCTCAGCCTCCCAAGTAGCTGGGATTCCAGGCATGTGCCACCACACCTGGCTAATTTTGTATTTTTAGTAGAGACAGGATTTCACCATGTTGGTCAGGCTGGTCTCGAACTCCTGACCTTAGGTGATCCGCCCACCTCAGCCTCCCAAAGTGCTGGGATTACAGGCATGAGCCACTGTGCCTGGCAGTTTTTATCTTTTTTTTTTTTTTTTTTTTTCTGAGATGGAATCTTGCTCTGTCACCCAGGCTGGAGTGCAGTGGTTCAATCTTGGCTCACAGCACCACCTCCACCTTGGTTCAAGCGATTCTCCGCCAAGTAGCTGGGACAATAGGCACGTGCCACCACACCCGGGTAATTTTTTTTATTTTTAGTAGAGATAGAGTTTCACCGTGTTAGCCAGGATGGTCTCGATCTCTTATAGAGAACATTTCAGTCCAGGTTGCCATTCAGATCTGCTTATGCAAACGAAGGATTCAAGCTTGCTTA